GGGGAAGGGGCCTGCTATGGGGTGGGGGGGGTTGTCCCTCTCCTCTTGCTTTGCTTCACTGGAGAATAAAGAGGTGGCCTGGACGGGCCTGGTGGTGGCTCCCTGGACTTGCTGGGCTGTGGGGTGCAAGGGGGATTGGGGGGGGCACCCCAACATCCCATTTGTGCCCCCTTCTCCTCCCCAAGAAGTATTGGGGGGGCTGGTTCTCCAAGAGGGTTTTACTCCCCAATGTGATTTGGGGGTCGGAATCTCACCCCCGTTTGTTATGCCCAAGGCCAGTCCTGGTCCACCCAAATGCCCCTTGGCTCCCTGTGAGCTCTCCTGGCCTCCTCCATTCCAGATGGAAATGCCTGATGCCTGTCTGCCGCACTGAATTTAATTAGGATCCCACAGCCTGTGTCACCTCCTTTTTTTTTTTTTTTTTTTTTTTTTTCTTTCCCCCCTCCTTTCCTAAAGCTACATGCCCCCTCACCTTCTTCCCTGTCTCTGCTCTGCAGGACCAGGCTCCCTTCATGGGTAGCAGCAGGCTGTGGGAGCTGTGTTGCTAGCCCAGTTACCAGCCCTGTGCTTCTGCAGACCCCCAGGGAGACTGGTGGAGAAGGGGAAGGCTTTGCCTTTCTCATAGCTGGTTGCTACGCTTCAGGCTACTGAATTTGCCGAGGCTTCTCTAGCAGAATCCACAGCACACGCTCTCCCATTGGGGTCTGCATCCAGTGCTTCCCCAGCCCCTCTGAGCCAGGCGCTCGGGCTCCCCTCAGCCAGGAAGAGCTGTGCTGGCTCTGCAGGTCATGGAGGGTAAGCTGGATTCTCTCTACCTTTGTGTGCATCAGCAGAGCTGCTAATTAGGCCCAATCTGGCTCATTCAGGCAAAGCTGTGCCGCCAGGAAGACAGCACAGATGTCCCTGTGACGGGGGCTGACCTGGCAGGGTGCTGTGCAAGGCTTTTCTGTGACTGCGTAAACCTACCAAGACCTGTGCTGCTCCCCTACTCCCTGTCCTGAATGGATGCTCTTCTCCCTATCTTTAGATTGACATTGGTGTGACCTTGTGGTGAGCTGTCTGGGCCAAAATCTACTCTCAACCCACCCCAAATTTGGGCCATATACACGTCTTGTGCTGGGGAAGGTAGCAGCTCTGACTTAGTCTGGCTTAAACAGGGGTGGAATTGGATCCTTGGAGCTCCTCTAGGGATGCTGGGGGAGCCCTGACTCTCCCCTGTTGGCATTTGGCAGAGAAGGAAACTGAGGCAGAGGGAGATGAAACAGCATGCCACAATCCAGCAAGAAGGGTCTGCAGCATCGCAGGGTAACACCCAAACCATTGGTATCAGCTGTCTCCACCCTGAGCCCGGGGTGTTTGTCCAGCGACCCCCTACCCCCAGCTGTGGGTCTTTATACACTTTCCAGAGCTGAACAACTTGCCAGCGCTGGTGGAGGTTTCCCACCCTACAGATTCTCTCAGAGACACCCTCAGGGTCCTTCTAGCCTCAAGCCCCAGCCTTTTAAAATGCTTCCAGCTGCAGCGAGGCCATGTCCTTCCCCTCCTCCCTTGTGTTTCATTGATTAAGAGTGCTAGGCCTCATTGGGGGATTTAGGAAGAGCTAATTGCAGACTGGTAATTGAAGACAGCTTGGAGTCTCTGGAAATGTCAAGGAATGAGAGATGAGCTTAGATGCTCCCATGCATTTAAATATGCATCGTCGGCTCAGCCGGAGCTTTACTGAGGGGAGACGTGTCTGGTTTTCCTTCCCCCAGAGGACCTCATATAGCTGGGGGGGGAGGGGGGGGGGGGGGGGGGGGCCACTAGCCTTACCTTGCCTGGGAGCCTCCCCAAGGCAAAGGGGAGGTGGAGGGGGAGACACAAGCGTGGGGGGTACTGAGGGTGAGAATCCTCAGACAGGCTTGGGAGCTTGGCATTTTCCCCCCCTCTCAAAAGCTGTATGCTTTAACCTGGCAGACCCCTGTGCTGCTGTATGATACCATGGGTGTCCGGGCTCAGGAGCTGGCTATGGGGCAGCAGTAAGGGGATGGATAGAGATTGTCCCCAAGCTTGTCATCCCTGCAGCCACCCAGTGCTTCCTGAGGAGTGGTGAGGGGCTGAGACCCTCTCAGGAGGGGCTGAGAAGCCCCCCTCGCTGCCAGCCGCAGAGCCCAGCAGTCTCTGGGGTTGCAGGGATGGGGCATTTATGTAGGATTTGGGGCTCAGAGGTAGAGCAGCAGGGCCAAGTCAGGGATCCATCACCACAAGGCCTTGGTAAAGGATTCCTAGTTTGAAATCCCTCCAGCAGCAATGCATCTCCTTTCTATGCCTCACAGTGGATGCCCCTTGTGCTCCTCTTGCAGCAGGGGAGGTGGGCACAAAGCTGCACGGTGCAGCCTGCAGTGGGTTCAGCCCCTCCTGCCCCAGGGAGGTCTTTTCTTAGGCTGTAGCATCCTTCTTTTGCTCCCCAAGGGTGTGCAGGGCTGCTGGAAGCACCCTGGGTGGCAGTTGGTCCCCAGGATGAGTAGTGACCCATGAAAAGGGGGGGTTCTGCCCAGAGCTCATGGAGGAACAGCTCTGTGGGACTCCCATTGCCCCTCTGCTCTGTCTGCAGAGCAAACTCCATGCGCTGGACACGTTGGCCATGGCACTGGGACATGGAGGAGTGATGGGTGGCTGGAGCAGCCAGCCTGGCAAGCCATGTCTCCTCCTGCCGGGCAAACAGCAGGGGAGCTGTGCTTTTGCTATTAAGAGTTGGCAGCATCCCCCAGAGTGACTCGGAGCTGCTCCGTGGGGAGGAAACAGCTCCGGATGATGCAGACCCGGCGCCCACGTAGCTGGTGAAGGACCTGCCTCAGCCCAGCTTTCTGCGCAAGCCCTTCTCTGTTCGGCTGCGAGGATGATGGATAACACGTTCTTCAAGGCAGATGGAAGTGGGAGGTCTCTCTTCTGCCTCTGTGGGAGCTACTCAGACATGGGCTCCATCACAGCTTCAGGCTGTTGCGGCTCTGCTGAATTGAGGATGACTTGTGGATGCAGGTTTCTGGTCCCCTCCCTGCTCCGTGGCACTTTGGTCACAGCAGCTGGTGGGATGTCTAAGGGGGAAGATGTGGACAAAGTGCTGCAGGGACATGGCAGCAAATGGTAGAAAGAGCATGAGGGATTCTAAACTAAATTGGCTGATAAGATGTTTGTACCCAGGGAGAGGCAGGACAGCCTCCACTGGGTCTCAGCTGATGGGGGGTGATGCATCCAGGTTGGGGTGGGAACCTGCAAGAGGCTTTGAGCTCTGCCAAAGCTCAGGGTAGCCCAGTGGCAGGCGTGAGACCGAGGGAGGTGGGACAGCAGCCAGTTTCATCCCCACTGTAGCTAAAACATGGCCTGTGGCATTGCCTGGCTGGTGGTATGGGACTGAGGAGCACAGACTGGGGACAGCTTGGTGCCAAGAAGCTGGGGCAGGTGGAGAAGAGGAACCAGATGCCTTGGAGCCCTGATGTGATGGTTCATCCTTCTGTCATGGAGACCGGCAGAGAGGAGGGCCAGGGCTGCCTAGTCTGGGGCATTACATCCAGTCCACTGAGAGCTGAGCACGGAGGTTATTGTGTGCTGTGTCCTCTGCCTGTCTCATGGTCCTGTGTCACCCCTGAGTACTGAGGCCCTTGGGGGACAGCCAGGCAGCACCAAGCTGTGGCCTGGGGCAGTCGCGGGGAGCTTGCCCCAGGGAGTGAGTGCCCTCCGGGTGCTGCTCCCTCATCAGAAGTCCTGCATTAGAGTGTAATCTGGCATTAACGCATTAATCCAGTCCTCTCTGCTGCCCAGCCCCTGCCCTCGGCGGAGTCCAGCCCAAGGTCTCAGTGTACTGCTGGGCAGAAGCAGCACCAGGTCACCGTCTCCTCTGCAGCCCTTGTCCCGGCACCAGGTGGTGGCAGGGGCAAGGTTTGGAGCTCCATCCAGAGCATCCCTGTGCCTGGGGAGGGCAGCGAGCAGGGAAGTAACCCAAACTGCACGAAGCTCCTCCCAGGTGCAATCCAGGACCTGGAGGAAGAGAAGTCCAGGTCAGGGGGGTTTACGGTGACAGTACGGTCCCAGCCCTGAGCACGTTGGCGAGGGAGAAAGCGGCATCTTTTGGAAGCATCGTGGTTGATTTCTTGGAGGGGCTTCATGAGGGGTTTCGGAGCCCAACTGCCGGAACCTGCGGGCTCCGGCTGAGCCACACCAAGTCACGAAGCGCTTTGCAGGGAGCCAGGCCAAGGGAAGGTGGCGTCTGGAGAGAGGATGTGAGTCAGCAGCTTTGGGGGGGGGGGCGAGTAACGGAGCCGAGGAGCCAGCACAGCAGCGAGGATGCGAAGAGGAGGAAATAGGTGGGAATTGGGAGAGCTGGAGGGGGAGCAGGGGTGGGCAGGGAGGCAGCCCTCTTCCCCCCGGGGGCAGATGTGACCTGGCTGTGCTGCAAAGGCTCTTCCCAGCATGAGAAATGAAGCGAGTGGCAACGTGGCTCTACTAAAATAGGAGAGGGGCTACTCCACCCCCCATCTGACCCCTTACTGTGGGGCTGGGAGGCTTTGGGAGAGTTGGAGGGGTCCCCCCACCATCCTGGCGAGAGGTTGAGGCCAGGGCTCAATCCTGCCCTCTTGCTCGCTAGGCAAAGCCAGACATAAAGATTTATTTATTTTGTTTTAAGTAGGAAAAAAACCTTCTGCCTTTAATTTTAAGGCAGCAGAAGAAGCTGCCAGGCCATGTGCTCTCTGCTCCCGCATTCTTCCCAGCACAGGCTGAGGCCCTTTGGGACTGCGTTCCCCCATCTCACCCTGGGCAGGGTACCTGAGGACTCCCCACAGGTAGGTCTGAAGTCTGCGGGTGCACTGGGCCCGGGACAGCCACCCAGGACAGGCTCTTCTGCCTTTAATCTCAAGGCAGCAGAAGAAGCTGCCAGGCCATGTGCTCTCTGCTCCCACATTCTTCCCAGCACAGGCTGAGGCCCTTTGGGACTGCGTTCCCCCATCTCACCCTGGGCAGGGTACCTGAGGACTCCCCACAGGTAGGTCTGAAGTCTGCGGGTGCACTGGGCCCGGGACAGCCACCCAGGACAGGCTCTCCACCCAGCTGGTGCACCCCACTGGCAAGAACGAGTGCTTCCCCCATCAGCGCCCCGGGCTGGGCACTCCTGATCGGGGCCAGGGATGATGCTCCGCCGGGAGCTGTGCCGGGCTCGGCCCCGCTTGCCCATTGGCAGGATTTTGCTGCAGTCTGCTCCAAGCCGGTGTTTTTGGTGACTGAAGAAAGAAACGCTGCCGGTGGGCTGGGTCAGATGGGGCTCTGGGGAGGGGGGAGGCTGGGTTGGGTTTTGCTCTGTCTGTGTCCGTCCGTCCGTCCCCCCCCCCGGCTCTGGTAAGCACAACATGGG